CATAATCGCTATCAGTTCGTGTGTGGTCATCTGAAGTTAATAGAAGTATGCTGATTTATGCTGCCTGAGGGCCTGACCCAAAATTCACAGAATTACAGGATGGTTGAGGTTGGAAGGGACCTCTGGAGGGCATCTTGTATCAAATTTGGATAGACCTTTTGAGAGAGCAATATACACAGACACTTTTCTTGCCAGTACTGTGACCCCTCATAAAGGACCAGAAAGAACAGCCCATACAGGGGTATGGCAGCCGTCCTGGACCACAGCTGAACAAGATGCAGAAAATAGGCTTCTTCCTATTTGGTGGCTGTATTTTATCTGTTTAATGCCACGGGTAAGCCTGAAACTTTACAGATTTAGCAAAATAAAGAGGAAGCCAACAGCTTAGTGTAAGAGGCAAATTCTACATGTGAAAAGAATAATCATGTCCCACACAGATGAACTAGAAGAGAGGGAAGGGGAAGGACAGACAAGCAAAAAGAAAAAAAGCTCGGTCATCTCGCTTTTCCTTCAAGAGGGATACAAGGAATTTGTATTGCCATGTTATATCAAATTCCTCGCTACTTTTTTGTTCTTACTTTTACTACTTCATTATTATTTGTCTTTAATCCATTGTTACTTTTTCCACTGTAACAACAAAGTTCCTGATGAGAAAACAGTGATGTTTTCTTACAGCTAGTGGAATTGGTGTAGATTTTTATATTTAAAAACATCACCCTCTTCCAGCTGGTTGGCATGCAGATTTAAGGATTTGGTCTGGATCAACTACGAGTTTCCATTTGTGATAGCCACATGAATCCTGGCAGAGCACTGACTCCAGCAGCCTGGCAAACCTTGACTAGCCAGTACTTAACTTTGCCTTAGGGCTCACTGATCCACATTTTTAGCAAATAGTTTGGCCTACGACTTCTGAGTAATTTGAATTACATACCAGGTAATCTCTCTCTTCACATGGCTCCATCTTAACATTCTGCTCCTACATTTTTAAAGGCACACTGTAATGATTCTCAAGTACTAATTCAAAAAGAGATTTTCAGTGCTGAAATTAAAAACAATCTGAAAACAGATTATGTATCGTTATCCTGCCTGGCAGAATGCAACAAACATTGTAAACCTATCTCACTCACAACACAACAATGCAGCTAAAAATGGTCTTAGCGTTCTTAAAAGAAAACTTCTATTCAAGAGACAACTTACCATAGTTGTGAGAAAAAGGTATCATTTACTGCAGCACAGCCCTGCCTAGAATGCTGGCTGAGGTTTCCATGGTTAACCTAAATTAAAATCAATTCCATATTTTTTGGCAGAAGGTCTATAAGCTAATTTTCATCTTTTCTTCAACTATAATTAAAAACATAAGGAAAAGGCTTCATATACTTCAAGTATGAAGGTACATTACAGTAGACATTTTTGTTTTTAAATGGCTACCATGTCACTTTAATCAAGTCAAAATTAAGTGGGAAAGTAGAATGTCATTATTGCCTGTGATTATACAGTTAACAATAAATATACCCCATGCCTACAGGGGAATAACACCCTGCGTGCTAGACTTGGTTGCTTGTTCTAAAAGGAAGTGAACCTTAACGCAGATTTGATCTGCAGTCACCATACACTTCTGTCACAAGAATTACAGATGAGTAACTCAGAAACAACAGAAGATGCCAAGGGAACCTAGAAGGCTTTTTACAGCAATATTCGAACGATATTCATAGTAAAGATGTGAAATGTGTAATATCAAAGGGAAACATAATTGCAAAAAATGAACAGGAGTTTGGCTTCTGATCACATGCAAAATCTACTTTGTCCAGGTAACGAGTGAGCAGATAGGTTCAATGTGTGAGAAGTTTACCAGCGGTCCAGGTCTCTCTGGATGTGGAGACAAGACACAAGATGCTTCCAAAGAAGTCCTCTCAGCAAATTAAAACCACCCCGATTCCATAAAGGTCTTCTGATGACTTTGCAGCAAGAAGCCAGCAAGTGCACAATCCCAGATTAAGGTCTTTCTTCTTATGAGTACTCAGAGGCATGACATCACATTATAGACAGCTTTTCATTAAAGCCCGGAGTTCACTGAATCATTATTTTATCCTCTTCTGTCTATCAAGTACATCCACTGTTTGCAACCCTTCACAAGTTTAACATCCCATTGTCTCTTACTCTAATGTATATGTATTTTAAGATTAATTGAAAGAGCAGCAAAATAAACATGGAATATAAACTTTTTCTACACTTAGCTTTTAGAATTAGTCCTGCACATCCTGCAGCTTAGTGACACTTTGTTAACATGTGATTGCTACACTGCTACAGAGTATGGTGAATAATCTCTCTCTGTGGAATTCTGGGTTAGATAACTCACATTTCGCCTCTGGTGGATGAAGTACAAACCTTGATTTTGGAAATGCACTGGCAGGGGGGAAGCACGGTGGATTTTCCCAAGGCCTGTTCAAACCCACCAGTCTCACTCCCTTTCCCATCCTTCTCACCCTTAAACACTGACACTCTTAAGTTAAAAAAAGGCTTTGGGTTGAAATAAGAAGTGTATGCCATGTCTGGACTGAAATATATTAGCCTAGCTTTGTGAACAGCACTAACTCCAAAGCCAACTCTATAACCACTCATCAGTAGACTATTTGGGGAAGGAACGGGTAAAATAAGGTAGGGGGATCTATTTTGCATTTTGAATTCTCCACTAGCAAATATAAACCCTCACTTAAAGGTGCTTGCTTTGAGTAATTTTAGAAGGCATAAACAGAAGCAACCCTATTAAAAGTCTTAAAACGACATTTATTCAGGCAATATGAGAAGAAAGAACTCTATTAATTGTAAAGTGCTTTTCTCACTCTCACCTTTCAACTATTATTCACATACAAGCATCTGAATAAATTCCACTGGCCTTCATTACATACCATCCAGCATTATTTGTTTTCACATAGAAGCCATAGTGCACAGGATAACCTAAAACTTCATTGAGAGAGCTGACTGTGAATTAAAGAGAAGAGGCAGCTTCTAGTGTGAAGATTCAAGAGGGGAAAAAGATCTCCAAGTTAGATGTGTAAGGACCCAGAAACAGAAGGCTGCTTATCTTCAGGAAGTGAAAAGCAATGGGTGGAAGAGGGGGAACAAAGGGGAAAGTGAGAAATAACAACACTCAAAGATTGCAGCTGTGTGAGAAGACCATGGAACAAGCAGATAAAAGCATAAAAGATGAAGCAAGTTCATTTGAATTAGACTCATGGGCATTAAGCAAGCCAGAAATAGCATCAGTGTACAGGGGGAACTGTTCATTTTGTCAGAGAGGGGTAGGAGTTGAATTTTCTCATCTGCCACAGGCTTTCTGGTTAGTGGTGGGGATGTCACTCAGTCTGTGCCTCAGTTCCTCATCCATAAAGCAGGATGCTGTGCAGAAAAACCACAAGTGGTTCAGGGGACAGTCAAGTGATAAGGACAAGATATGAATCTACACAGAGCTATACCTAACAGATCTCTGATGAAGGAAAAAAGGGAGAGAGAAAGACTGGGTATAATGACCTGGCCCACCTGAGTTTTAGAGAGGAACACAAATGTTACAGAGCATGACAGATGGATGTACAACCACAAGAAAGAGAGACAAATCTATGACCATAAAAGCCTGGAGAGGAAGAAAAATTTTGCCGAATAAGAAGGGTGACAATGCACAGACACATATATTCAAATGATGAGGCTGACTAAAATTAAGAGCTGAACAAATATCTGAATGTACCCTCAAAGGAATGCTCTCTAATTTCAGAGAGGTGTTATTTGGGCACCAGCTACTGCTATGAATAGGGGGTACAGTCTACTCCTATCAAATATACAGGAGAAAAGCACGGGAAAGTTATAGACAGGAAGAAACAGGGTTCCTGCTTGGGTGTGGAAGAAGGGAACGGGTGGGAAATTCCTTCAAAGACAGAGAAAATGGGGAAAAGACCCTTGCCACACACAACAACTTCAGCCTAAGATGCTCACACACTGGAAGTCTTCCATTCAGATATGAGTTATAGGCAGAATAGAGGGCAACTGGTACAAGTGGTTATTAAATAAGATACAGGTAGTCACAAGATGAACCTCATGTACCAAAAGAAGCAAGTAAAGGAGACAAGCAGTCTGCAACCAGACTGTCTGGTTGCAGAGAGGATCAGAGGGGCAGAGGAAACAGACAGCTGATCAGAGACGAAATTTTCCCCGAGGGCACAAACAACACTCCTGAATACCTGTGAGTTTATTTGAGCAGGTTTGAACATACAAAGGGGCCAGGAGGAAGCAGGGAATGGACAGCACTGAGGCAGCGTGTGGTCAGAGTGACAGTATTCCCTTGTAAAATGCTGAGGAACTGCTGGAAATCTTTACTGTCCCTGTGTCCATTACCCACTCATTATTTCTTTTAATCAGTACCTGAAAAACAGCTTTTTAATAGATAAGAGTGTAACCAACAGCATATGTTTAAGTCCTTGCTAACTCCAACTTCATTCTTCGCTATTTATTATTTTCAGAGCGGTAAGTATGACAAAGAAACATGCGTTAGCTGCAGGAGGCATGTCCCTGTCCCAAGCAGCCTGTTCCTGCCCTAGAAAGTCTAAAAGCATAAAACAGACCATGGGTGGGAGAAAGCAAATAATACTGTCCCCATGTTACAGATTGAGAACCAAGGAAGAGACCTAGTAAGTGATTTTCCCAGGAGTTCACAGGAGGTCAGTGGCAAAACTGGATACTGAAACCTTCTGTCTTCAGCATCCATCTGGTGCCTCAGTTACAAGGGCAGTGCATCTCTTTTAAGGACATCCTCCTTCATTCTCAGAGTGTCCTGGTAACAGGAGTCTTTGACTGAATGTATATATTGAGTTTATATAGCTTCAAGTCTTACTGAACCATATTGTACCTTTCCCCCTCTCTATTTCCATCTCCCTTGCAGTCACTTTTGGTCTGAGCTCAAATTAGCAGTACTACCAACTCCATCCACAAAGTCAACCTTTTTATCTACTTACAGTTCTGTTGGTGAAGTTACTGAAATCTGTCACTAAGATTTGCTTGATCATCTCTGGTGTGGAGACCACCACAAACATTTGGCGACCAATGTAATACCTACAAAGAAAGAGACATTTTAGCACATAATGACCAGCAGAGAACCGACTCCTTCCCTAAAATACCTCTTTTGGCTTGAAAATACTTGCTGTGAACAAATATCACAGAAAATACATTCCCTTGGGTAAAGTAGTATTTTTTCTCATCCCTTGCAACTATTAAATTAAGATGCATGGTCCTGGAATTTCAAAGAAACAGCTTAAAACCTTTTACTGATTAATCAATACTCGGTCAACATTTTAACATGAAGGTTTACACACTCTATGCTCACTATGAATTCTGTACAAGGTGGTATAGTATCACTAAACCAAACTACAGAGGGGCAAAACATTAGAAAACAACAAGCCAAACAATCATGAAAGACCTACAAAATTGATTATCCTGCAGTTAGCCACATGAAATGTCATTCCATGGCAAAGCCCTGTCTACAACGAGCCTTTCCAGAAGTCTCCCCAGCATGGCTGCAGTAAAGGCACACTTCTACCAGCACTGGAACTGAATGCATCTCAGACCCCAGGCTCTGCATTTCCACAAATATAACCGTCTAACAGATACCATCTGAACCTTACCTAACAGCAATAGAAAAAAAAAAGGGGGGGGGGGGGGGGGGGAAAAAAAAAAAAAAAAAAAAAAA